GATTTCCTCCGCAGTTTCGTGATCCTCAAAAACCAGGATCATGAAACTGCGGAGGAAATTGGGCGAAGCCCCGAGTCAAAATGCAGCCCCGGAGCTTCGGGTGTGAAATTGACATGTTTGTGTTGAGGCAAACGGTGCTGTGCTGCGAGGCAGCTCTAGTGAGAAATCGCCCTCTCTGTCTATCTCACTGTCAACACAGCACAGCCTGGAGTAGATCCCTGGGGCGGCCATTTCAAAAGATATTGGGGGGGATTCAACCCTCCCTGAGGTGTTCTTTTTAAACTCTTTGGATTTTTCTGTAAACCCATGGAGTCCCCTGAGTCTGTAGAAAAACCTGTTGGGGGAGAGTGTGCTCCCTATCTACGTAAATAAGTATCCACATGGAGAGAGGACTGTTGAGAATTAGATATATAGCTAATGCAGGAGGTACAAGAGGAATTTGGGTGCAAAGGAAGCACAGCACAGCACAGCACAGCACAGCATGTGATTCATGCCCTACTCCTTAAGCCCTTGTTTATTTGCATAGCTAACTTTTGGCCTTCCAGTACAACATAGTGCTTTATGGGTGTTTCTGAAATGTAATGGTTTTACACAGTGCAGTTCTGAGCAGAGTTAGGGCTGCCATTCCCCCAACGGAGGCGGGGGTTTGCCCACTTTTGGGCTCCCAGATCTATCAGTCCAAATCCAGCCGGTGGGGGGGAACCCCGCCCCCAAGGTGCCCTGTCCCTGCCAATGTGTCCGGCACACTGACGTCACCCGGAGGTGATGTCAACGCACAGGGCACGTTGCAGGGGGGACGCTCTGTCACTCAAGAAAAAACCCTCTATGTTTACCATAGAGAAGGACCGAGACACATACACACACCCCGCCGCCACAGCCAGGTAATACCTGGCAACCCTACTCCCAGTCCATTGGAGTCAATGAGGTTAGACTAGAGTAACTGTAGAATTGCATTATTAATAAATGCAACAGATTTAGATTACTGTAGTATTGCAAATCTAGGTTCTTATTAATACAAAAAGGCATTTAAAAGTAACTGGATTACTACAGATAAGGGTGATTTCTATCAAAATGGTTTTCACAGGAAGCACCTCGGCCTTCTTTTTTTCAAGTGAGCATTCTGATGTTTTCAAGTGAATTTGCGTAACAAAAATGACTTCACAAGAAGGACTTACTAGTGCAGTGCCCCTGCAATCACACCAGGGAAACATTTTCCTCTGCTGTTTTGTTTCTCTGTTGCTGTTCTTAATTCAATTTGAACTGGAGGTGAAAGCAGGCTGGAGAACCCAGAACAACAAGGAAACCACACTGTGCATATTCTGATTTGGCTTGTTCTAAAGTTTGGAATGGCTCATTGTATAAGAGCCTTGGATTTTATACAGTTCACTGGTAATTTATAAATCCATTCGCTACACTATAATATACACAACGGCACCACTTTCTAGAAGTTACTACAGATAAGGGTGATTCCTATCAAAATGGTTTTCATAGGAAGCACCTCGGCCTTCTCTTGTTTTTGCAAGTGAGCATTCTGATGTTTTCAAGTGAATCTGCGTAACAAAAATGACTTCACGAGAAGGACTTACTAGTGCAGTGCCCCTGCAATCACACCAGGGAAACATTTTCCTCTGCTGTTTTGTTTCTCTGTTGCTGTTCTTAATTCAATTTGAACTGGAGGTGAAAGCAGGCTGGAGAACCCAGAACAACAAGGAAACCACACTGTGCTTATTCTGATTTGGCTTGTTCTAAAGTTTGGAATGGCTCATTGTATAAGAGCCTTGGATTTTATACAGTTCACTGGTAATTTATAAATCCATTCGCTACACTATAATATTCACAACGGCACCACTTTCTAGAAGTTTATTATTCGATCACACCATATATCTGGCTAAGAAAAGCCTGCACAAAGAGCGAGGCAATTCCACAGCAAAGCTGTGCCCACAACAGCCCTCTTATCCACAGAGGTATTAATGTTAATTACTATCCTTAGTGAATGATTTTTAAATACCCTTAATGCCAAGATACCAGAGAAAACCTTGCGGTTGTCCAATGTCCTAAAACGAACTTAACCACAATATGTAAATGACAACATTTTTTAACAGATAATTTTTATTCTTTTTCATAAACAGCAAAGATTTTTTAGCTCCAACTATGTTCACATGAATTGCTACCAAAGAGAATGTTAGAAAGCACTTTTCACCCAAAGCAGTGGCAGGACACTGTGGGGACTTTGAACATTATCAATGCAGTTAGCGAATTCTTTAATTGTTGTTGAATACAGAGTTCGGCTTACCAAGGTTCCCATGAGCAGCAAGCCAAAGGAAAACAAAGACAGCAGGACATATGACATTGTGATGCCTCCAATTCTTATCAGATCCTAAGAAGCAACACAAAGCAACAGTTATCTTAGAAGGTAATTAAAGAGCTAGAGCAGGGGTGGCCAAACTGCGGCTTGGGAGCTCTTTCACACATATTGTGTGGCTTCCAGCAGGGCAGCTGCAGAAGCGAAGGGGAGCCATGCTTTTTCTCTCCCTCCCTCCCTCCAATCAGCTTTATTTGTTTCTCTCTCTCTCTCTTTCTTTCCACCTCTTTCCTTCTTTCTTTTCACCTCCCTCTCTTAGACAAATAAATACCACTAGACAAATAAATATCATTATCAATATCTGTTTTTACCCCTTTGATTTTGATTTTTGGCCATCTCGTTTAATGTCTCGTCATGTCTTGTGGCTCTCAAACATCTTGACGTTTATTCTACGTGGCTCTTAACACTGAGCAAGTTTGGCCACCCCTGGGCTAGAGCAATGCTGATGAGCATAATCTTGGCTTTGATGGAAAATTATCAATTCCGCAAACAAATTAATTCCTATAAATAAATAAACTCATTCTTTATATACAGACTTCTTAAGGTCTGCAATTGAAACTCAGATCCCTATCCAAATTTTATAGTTTTCCCTTGGATGACCGCAGCCCCGCCCCCGGGTGATGTGCTGACGCCGGGCACGTCACGTGCTTTGGGGGTGGGGTTCCCCCTGGGGCCCGATTCGCCGGCGGCGGGTAACAGGTCTTCCAGGGGGACTTGGCAAGCCTAGCCTATACAGATCTGTACTTTGTGACATTTGTCTAAAAACTACCATGCCCTCTACTAAATCTGTAGTACAGGTTTATTTCTAATCAAATTCATGCAAAGTGAAAACTGGGGGGGTGGGGGGAAGAGAACGACAACTTGACCTGGACTGACTCACTGCAAACAACACGTAGATGGCCTGAATGTCTCCTGCTGCAGAAGAAACTTTTGATTATGCATAATAAATCTAATTTAAAAGATCACAGAAAAATCCCACTTGTCTAAAGCAAATATAAGGATGTGTAATATTTGTGTTTCATAATCACTGTTCAGTGAACAAAGGAAGCAGTTTTTGCTTTACATTTAAGTAGGTGACGTGCAATAAAAAACAGAATGGAAAGGCCAAAAGGTGAAGCAGAAGTTAGAGGATCTAGGTTCATTAATTCCCTGGCTGAGCTGCACCAAGTACCAAGAAGTAGTAATAGATTGGAGCTGAACTATGAAAAATCAAAGATATTGGTCTATCCCTATTCCAGGAAATTATATAAGTGAACTATTAATGGCAATAAATTTGAACAGGTCAGGCACTACAAATACTTGGGCATCCACGTTCATTCTAGTGCCACCTGGACCCATCACCGCAGAATGGCTATTAATGTAGCTAAAGTCATTGCTGCAGCAATCTCTCGTTTTTACTTTTCTGACCGTGGAAACCAATATGTGCCAGCTGCACTCAAAGCTTTTAATGCTACAGGTAAAGGTTCCCTTGCTCGAAAGCCAGTCGAATCCGACTCTAGGGTTGCGGTGCTATCTCCGTTTCAAAGCCGAAGAGCCAGCGCTGTCCGAAGACGTTTCCGTGGTCATGTGGCCGGCATGACTAAACACCAAGGCGCATGGAACGCTGTTACCTTCCCACCGAAGTGGTCCCTATTTATCTACTTGCAATGGCTTGCTTTCGAACTGCTAGGTTGGCAGGAGCTGGAACTAGAGACGGGAGCTCACTCCGTCATGCGGCACCCGGGTCTTGAACTGCTGAACTAGTGACCTTCCACAGCCTGCAGTTCAGCGTCTTAACCACTCGAACTACCGCAGCTCCTTTTAATGCTAAAACTGGAGCTCAATTATTGTATGGAGTACCCCTCTGGATAGATGCAATTGACACCTCAGCGGAATGTGTCCAGTCTGCCTTTTTGCGAAAGACCATGGGGGTACCTATGTGTGTTCCATATGCTACCTTATGTTTGGAGTGCAGACAGAATTTGATGGCTTACTAAGGCATGGATCCACACCATTAAATTTTGGCTGCGGCTCCACCAACTCTGACCCCTCTAGTTATCTGTATCAATTGCTTTCTGAATCTGTCCATTCTAGCTGGCTATCTCACATTGAAACCAAAGTATGCTCCTTGAACTTACCCTCAGAATCTCTATCCTTGCTTTCTGAGCCGCCGGCTTTTAAAAAAAATAAAATCTAGTTTATTGGGCTCAGAGTTGCAAACTCTCTATAGCTTGGCCAACAGAACCTGTTCTCCCCTAAATTTAGGGATTGTCCCAAATGCAAATCTTCTAGCTGTATATCTTTATCAACTTATAGCTCCAAATTTGCGCAGAGCCATCTCCTTGGCCAGATTTAATGTTCTTCCTTCTGCTCTTCTCTCTGGCAGATTCCAGGGGATCCCCTACTCCAGCAGGGGCTGTCCTTGTAAGGAGGACTGTGTTGAAACTGTCCCCCATGTTCTCCTTCAATGTCCCTTTTATCTGGTGCCCTGCCAGGATCTTTTGTACCCTATATTAGTTCCATTCCCAGAGATTCCTGACAATTTTAAGGTTCTGTTTTTACTTGATAATCCAGATACGGAAATAACAGAAATAGTAGCCAGGTTTCTTCTTAGTGCTATGGCTATACGTTCTGATATGTAACCACTAGGTTTTTCTGTTTTTATGCTGTTTTCCTGCGCTGTAGCTCTAATTTTACCCTATATGGATTTGTATTTTCCGATCTATATTTAACCTGATCTCCTATTGTATGCATATACATATGCCAATAAAGGCTGGTCAAAGTAAAGTACCAAGAAGTAAAGCAAGCTTAAGTCAGCAGAACTTACAGTGCAATTCTAAGCCAGGTTGCATCCTTCTAAGTCCACTGAAATCAATGGCCTTAGAAGAGTAAAACTGTACTCAGAACTACACTGCTAACTTGGGTTGCATCTAATGTTCTGTAGCTCAACAAAGCTCAAATACTTTGGCCACCAAATGAGACGGGAGCACTCCCTGGAGAAGACCCTGATGCTGGGAAAGATTGAAGGTCAAAGAAGACGGGGACGGCAAAGGATGAGATGGTTAGACAGTGTCATCGATGCAACGAACATGAAATTGAGCCAACTTCAGAGGACGGCGGAAGACAGGAGCGCCTGGCGGGAGATGATCCATGGGGTCGCGAAGAGTCGGACTCGACTGTGCGACTGAACAACAACAACAAATGTTCTGTATCCATTGTAATGATGAACAAATGTACAGCTGAGTACGTGTTTAACTCAGATCTAAATCCTACTCATTTTAATGGTATTTACATCCAAGTCATAATGCTTAGGGTTGCAGCCTTAAATTGTAAAGTGAATAGATAATTTTGGTAGTAACGTGACACGGGAGTGACGCATGCGTGTCGGGGATGTTGGAGGTGGGGCCACAATCGTCCGAGGGAAAACCATAGAGTTTTCCCTCGGATGATTGTGGCCCCACCTCCAACATCCCCGACATGCTTGCGTCACTTCCGTGTGATGTGCTTGCGGCGCGTGCGCACGAAGACTCCCGGAGCAAGGCTGGACTCCCCCGCTCCGGAACAGATAAGCACTTGGCAACCCTACATATGCTTGAGAGTACAAACCTGCTGATACTAGGCCTTTCAATCTAGGCCCAAAGCTGAGGGGAAGTAAAGTGGTTTTCCTTCCACCTGACTCCCAACTTTGGCAGCTCTCTGTTGCGAAACGTTCAGAGGCAGCATGCATACCCAGACCTTAGACTCAGTGGATTTTGAGGTTAAGCAGAAAAGGATTTTTTTTTTCATGTGGGGATTTTTTTGGTCACAACACCTAGGACCCACCTCATTCATTACATAAGACTCTTCCTTCCTCCTCTCATTTTGTTTCCAAGGGCCACCTACACATGGGACAGCCATTTTATTAATGGCGGAGTGATAGAAAAATCAGTTGCCAATATTCCATTTAATTCCTGCCTCCTACCTGGTGGAATGAGCTCCCGGAGGAGATCAGGGCCCTGCGGGACCTCTCACAGTTCCGCAGGGCCTGGAAGACGGAGCTCTTCCGCCAGGCGTTTACTTAGGAGCCGCCACTACCACCACCACCAATTGTCCTGTGGTAACAATGGGACAATTGGGATGGCTTATTATAAAGATTTAGCCACAATACTGCGACGGATCGGTACCGCTGAAGCGTAACATCTATAGGGCAATATCTATAGGTCACCATCTTGATTCGACTAACTGGGTAACATCACTGAGCACTTTATTATTGTTAAGAATGTTGTTTTATTCTGTTTTTAATGTTTTATATCGGCACAGGCTGCCCTCTTTGTGAGCCGCTCTGAGCCCGTTTGCGGGGAAGGCGGGATAGGAATATAATAATAAATAAAATAAATTAATAAAATAACACATTATTTTTCATGCCACGCTTTGAGGGCTCCGTGAAAGGCTGACTGAGTGGGGGGTAGGGAGTAGAGGTAATGCATTAAAGGCAAAGGTTCCCTTGCTCGAAAGCCAGTCGAGTCCGACTCTAGGGTTGCAGTGCTCATCTCCGTTTCAAAGCCGAAGAGCCAGTGCTGTCCGAAGACGTTTCCGTGGTCATGTGGCTGGCATGACCAAGGCGCACGGAAACCTGTTACCTTCCCACTGAAGCGGTACCTATTTATCTACTTGCAATTTCTTGCTTTCGAACTGCTCGGTTGGCAGGAGCTGGAACTAGAGACGGGAGCTCACTCTGTCATGCGGCACACTCGGGTCTCGAACTGCTGAACTACTGACCTTCCACAGCCTGCAGTTCAGCATCTTAACCACTTGAGCCACCGCAGCTCCATCATTAATTAAGTAATTAATTAAGTAATGCATTAAGACAGCATTTTTCTCCCCCCCCCCTCAGGAGTCTGGGGGCTCCCTCTTACGCCTCTGACATTTCATTGTATTGCTGCTTGGCCTGCTACGGCCTTTCACCATGCTGGGGAAAAAGGGCAAGGAAAACGGCTGCTCTACACATGCGCCCCCTTTGCCGAGACACTTTTTATAGCACGGAGACACAAGATGACCCATCTGTGATTGATTGCAATGGCACTAGGCCCAGCAGTAGCAGATTGGAGATGTGATGACAACACTCGAGGAGCGGTAAGAGAATGGGTATGAATTCCCCAGCCCTGGACAGTGTCAGAGGAAAGGGCTGGAAGACAAGAGGTGAGCCAGGCACTGTGGGGGAAGAGAACAAAAAGGCACGGGCTGCAGTACACAGCTACAGGCGATGGCCGTATCTTCACGCCCACCCGTGACATTTCATAAGCCTTTCACTACTAAATAGCACTCCTGCCAACCTAGCAGTTTGAAAGCAAGAAATTGCAAGTAGATAAATAGGGACCGCTTCGGTGGGAAGGTAACAGCGTTCCGTGTGCCTCGGCGTCTAGTCATGCCGGCCACATGACCACGGAAATGTCTTCGGACAGCGCTGACTCTTCAGCTTGGAAATGTCTTTGGACAGCGCTGGCTCTTTGGCTTGGAAACGCAGCCCTAGAGTCGGATTCGACCAGCTTTTGAGCGATGGAAACCTTTACCTTTACCTTACTAAACCTTTACCTTTACCTTACTAAATAGCAAAAAAAACCATTAACTACAGTTCATAGATCCTGTCAACTTACTATGTCTTCCAGATGGCTGGAAATATAAAACATATACGATATATTGGCACATGCTGCCCACCTGGAACTGTATCGATGCCATCTTTGGACCTATGATATCAGAAGTTTGAGCACCGTTGTTTTTTAAGTATTGGATGTTGTAATGGATTATATGTTTTAAGTTACTATGTATATTATGTTTTAATTATAGCATGGTTTACCTTGCCCTTGTTAGCCACCCTGAGCCCATTGGGGAGGGCGGGGTATAAATGTGAAAAATAAATAAATAAATATAAATAAATATCATATCAGAACAGAATTGGCAGATTTGTGGAGTATGGCAGTGTCACTCGTGCTTGGTTATTCTTAGCCACTTGTGCGTGGTTATCCTAAGGATGCTTACTTGAAAGTAAGGACTACACGCCATTTAATTTTTCAGAGGCAGTAACAGGGGCTATTACCTTCATGCCTTGCTTATGTACTTCCTGGAAACATCTGCCTAATGACTGTAGAAAACAGGACGCTTGCTCTGATTCAGCAAGGATTTTAAATGGAGATTGTTTTGCTCTGCAAACTGCTCACTAGACTGCTCCTTAATGCAGTATTTCTTAGAAGCTATACTATAATGTAAGCCCTATGCTACATGTTGCATCTACTCTATTTATTTAATTCAAGAAGATATCAGCATGGCTATTAAAGCACAGAGAAGTCAGTGAACGTACCTTGCTAGAATCTGCAACCAGCTGTCCAAACGGAGTAAGCACCTTGGATAAGACATCGAAAGCATTCTGAACTGCTGGGAGGGTCTCACAGCCATCGTTCCAAAACATAAAGGAGAAAAGCTGCAGTCAATCAAATAATTAATAATGAGGATATTTTGGGGGGGTCATATTGCTTTGCACTTGATTTCCAAGCCTGCGTAGCCCACTGAAGGTTTTTATTTTAAAAAAATCATATCTATCATTGTGTTTTAAAGAGTCAGGTGCTTTGCACACTGCAGACATTAACTAGAATAAAAGACAAACAGGTTGTTACCTGGTTGTAAAATGTCACCGCTTTTGACATAATTTCAGATATATCAGCATATATGACATGGGAGATCTGGCCCTAAAATGTATGAATCTTAAATAAAAAAAAACATTTTTGTCCTTTCTTTAAAAAAACAACAACAATCAAATGGGCAGAGCTGGAGCCGCGCTGACGCGAACCGCGCGCCAGACGGGTCCGCCGAATACAGCCGACTCCGAATACAGCTGAATCCGACTCCGGAAGGAGAAGAAGAGGAGCCAAACCAAAAGCCGAGCCGACAAAAGCTGAACCGGATAAAGAACAAAGCATAAATAAATAAATAAATAAATAAATAAATAAATAAATAAATAAATAAATAAATAAATAAATAAATATGAGTTGTCTGAATCCTTACCAATATCTGCGAGAGGGCAAACAGGTGAATGACTCCTCCTGTAGTCAGTCCATTCCACCAGGCCACCCAGTTACGCCGAGTCTCCTCGAAGCCCTTCCGAGATTGTTTCGTCCTGTTCTGTGGTTCATGCTGCCCGTCAGCTTCATCCAATGGTTCCATCACGGCTGACTTCGAAAGACCTTCAAATATGCAAATGAAAGATGATCAGCAGCAATGTACACTTCACATCTCTTGCTGAGGCTGCGGGAATTATATAGGTAAATGACCAGAAAAGGTAATTGTATACCTGCCGGCAATTACATCGCTAAATGCAATGGGAGATACAAAAGTCACATTTTACGTACTGCAAATCCTTTCTGCCTTCTACTGAAAAAGCATGTGGGGGTGGATACATTATTACCCCCCTTTTCATGTATGAACGGAATCTGGGTTCTGTTATTCACTAATGAGCTGTTGTTCACATCTTTTAAAAAAACAGAAAATGATTTCACTCCCCGTTCTGCCCTTGCATTGCTTTGTGTTTCAGGCTGATCTCATTCTTTGTTCTTCACTTTTCTATTCTCCCTATCTGGCTGTGTGGTTTAGAATGAAAGAATGCCTTGCTTTTGAGCCTTTATCAGCAATAGGGTGGTACCTCACCTAGCTCACCTTCAGCTACTTGACTTTCATACAGACTCATGACATCACTGACAAGAGAGGCAGGACAAGTGATTTCATCATGTTCTTCCTCCACACGGCAGCCCTGTGTTCCACATGTCCATACAGGTCTTGTGGCTTCATAAAATCAACTTTCCTGGGGTTGGAGGGGGATCCTTTAGCCGGTGAATCACTGGTCCCACCCACATGGTGGAGTGGCAAAGCGAGCTAAAAATGTCAATGTGCTTATTTCAGTTTCACCTACTAATAAAATGTCATGCAAAAGTTGTCTAGCCCAGGGCTATTTTTGGGCAGGAACGCACAGGAACGGAGTTCCGGCTGGCTTCAGAGTTGGCCACGCCCACTACAGCCCAAACCTCTGCGTGTGTGGCTACAGAGGGAAGGCCTGGAGAGTGACCCCCCTTTGTGACTCTGAGGCGGGCAGGCCAGGTGGACCCTGGAAGGTTTGGGGAGGCATTTAAATGCCTCCCCATGCCTTCCCCAGCCTGTCCAAGGGCCGGCTTGCCCGGGCTCCCCACAGCCGTGGGGTTCCCAGGAAAGCCAAGGGAAATCATGGGGTGTGGCCTAATATGCTAATGGTCTGTGCTGTCAGGGGTGTGGCCTATTATGCTAATGAGTTCCTGCTGGGCTTTTTCTACAAAAAAAGCCCTGGTCTAGCCATGTGTGATCTTGTAGTTTTGCACAGACTGACCAGCATTCGTAAATAAAAAGGTACGGCTCTTCATATTAATAGTAATAATAATTAGTTAGAGTGTTGGACTAGGAGCTGAGAGACCCAAGTCCAAATCCCCATTCTGCCATGGAAGCTTGCTGAATGACTTTTAGGCCAGATACACATTCTCAGCCTAACCTAACTTCAGAGGGTTCTGATGAGGATAAAATGGTTAGGAGAACAATGTAAGCTACTTTGGGTCCCCACTGGGGAGACAGGCGGGACCTAAATGAAGGGAATAATAATAATAATTACTACCTCCTAAATCTAATGACCGAAGTATTTATGGTACATGCACGTTACACATTTCATGAAAGTTGCCATTTTAAACCTATTAAGAGCCAAATCACATATGTACTTAATCGCAAGTACATCCTACTGTATGATTTGTTTCCAGGTAGTTATGCAGTGGAGCTGCGGTGGCTCAAGTGGTTAAGATGCTGAACTGCAGGCTGTGGAAGGTTGGTAGTTCAGCAGTTCGAGACCCGGGTTGCCGCATGATGGGGTGAGCTCCCGTCTCTAGTTCCAGCTCCTGCCAACCTAGCAGTTCGAAAGCAAGAAACTGCAAGTAGCTAAATAGGTACCGCTTCGGTGGGAAGGTAACAGCGTTCCGTGCGCCTTGGTGTTAAGTCATGCCGGCCACATGACCACGGAAACGTCTTCGGACAGCACTGGCTCTTTGGCTTTGAAACGGAGATGAGCACCGCAACCCTAGAGTCGGATTCGACTGCTTTCGAGCAAGGGAACCTTTACCTTTACCTAGTTATGCAGTATTGCAGACCAATGTTCTGGGCATAATACCTCTTAGCGGTTAAGCCCTAATAATTCAGCAGAACCTGCTTCTGAGTAAGCATGTACAGGATCTGGCCACAAGCCGTGGAGTAAAGGACACTCTCTAAACAAATTAACACACTCACAAAAATCCTAGATATCAGACCAAGCATATCTATATAATTCTCAACTGTCCCTTGTGTGTGGATATCTAAATCTGCAGGTAGGGGGCATACTTACCTCAAATAAGTTTTCCTGCAAACTTGGGTGGCCCCCTAGGTTTGCAGGAAAATCTGAAAAGTTAAAAAAGCAAACTGGGAGTTTAAATTCCCCGCCAAAATAAAAGCTGTTGGGCTCAGAAGTAGGGGGAAAGAGGGAGGGATAAACAAGGGGGGATTGACTTGGGGGAGAGAGAGAAAGGAAAAGATGGGGGGATTGGTTGGAGGGGAGAGAAAGAAGGGGGATTGGCTTGGGAGAGTGAGAGAAAGACAAAGAAGGAGGGATTGGCTTGGTGGAGGGCTGGAAAGAAAAAGAAAGGGAGAGAAAGAAAAGGGAAGATGGAAGAGAGGGAAGGAAGCAAATGCTCCCTCTCTGCAAGTTTCTTGTGGGTCCCCACTTGTAGTTCATAATAATGGACAACAGACCTGGACCTTAACTTTAGCTGCATCAATATGTTATGAATATATGAAGGTAGTCGAGGCGGTGAGCGGAAGAAAAAAGAAGACACGACATCTAGCGGTGAACCGGTGGCAAAGGCGGAGCCCGGAAGGCGTGAGGACGCTCAGCGCAGGCGCGGCGGAGCCTGAGGGATGGAGCCAGTGCCGCGCCGATGCGATCAGCACGATGAATGGGCCCGCCAACTCCAAAAGATCTCCCGAGGAGCCTGAAGAGAGCGGAGGGAAGATGCCGACCCGAAGCCGAGCTGAAAACACGTCAACTGAATCCCACCAGGTGCCGTTAGGTAGTCCCACCCCTAATACGATATATATATGTGCCCATAGATAGGGATAATACAAAACTATGTAAGCCGCTCAGAGACCCATGGGAGGGGTTTGAGCGGGGTAGAAGTTGAAGGTAAATAAATAAATAAATAAATACCCAGAGTCCAACCAGTAGTCCATCTTGTTCAATGATACTCACTCTAACTAGCAGCAGCTCTGCAGGACTTCTGGTGGAAGGTCTTTCCCAGCACCCGCTACCAGACTTCCTTTAAATGATGTTAGGGCTTGAACCTTTGGCATGCAAGGCATGTGTTCTACCACCAAGCTACGCTCCCTCTACTGCTTACTACTGCAGTGAAAATAGACCTCCAGAGCGAAAGTATGTGCAAATTGTTGTATAGAGAATTGGACAGTAACTGTCAAAATAGTCGTTGATTATATAAATGGTTTTTAAATGAACCCTATTCATTTTGGCACAAACACAACTTTTCTCCTCTGCTGTTGGCTTCCGAATGCATTCATAAATTGACCTGCACCAGAACTCTCTTCTGTGACAGTGAACAACAACATCTTTCTCATGCCCTCTTCTCCTACCCAGTCCCACCTACAATGGCCTACTGCAATCTCTGGGCAAACGGAAGAGGAGCTGTGTGCCAAAATGTTTGAGGAGACTGCTTGACTTCACAGTCAGTGCTGAGTCACCAATCCTTGCCACATTAATTTTCACATTGCGCCCACTCATTCCACCTGTCGTTTCATATGGAAAGAGAGATGGAAAGACTAAAGTTATGCTCTCCGCCCATTCTATTTGTCTGTGGTGGGCAGTTTTTACCAATGGGTTGATCCTCTACCTTTGGGAATATGCAGTTGAACTTAGACGAGAGCACTGGTTCCTAAGGGCTTGACTTACATTTCCCAGATATATGTATGAAATCAGGGCCTGTTGACAAAGAATTTGTTGGCTTCAAACTGCCCCTTCCTGAAGGAGGTTGGGCACTCGTTACACATGAGTGTGTGCATTAGATAACCCTTTTGCTTCTGGAAATGAGGCGAAAATCTGCTAGCGATTCCTTTAGCAGTGGGAGCCTTTTAGGAGGAAAAACTACCTGACCGATTTCACACAAGAGCTGCGCCGCGGTCGCGCCTCCCTTTGCCCCGCTTCTATTGGCCAATTTCCCACTCGAAGCCGCGCGGCCGCATTTTGACCCGCAGCGTCGCCCGATTTCCCCCACGGTTTCGTGATCCTCAAAAAACAGCCACGGGTCAAAATGCGGCCGCAAAGCTTCGAGTGGGAAATTGACCAATAGAAGCGGGGCAAAGGGAGGCGCGACCGCGGCGCAGCTCTTGAGTGAAATCGGTCTCTTTTTCCCCCATAAGACATTTTTATCACACAGCATATTTAAAGAGGTGTTTGTGAAAATCTTGGCCCCTCTAAGGTGTAGTCACTTTTCTTTCAAAGAGAAGATTACGATATCTTCAAAGGCTAAAGTACCCTCTAAATGAAGGAGGTAAGTTCTCTAAAAAATAATGCAAGACTATAAAACAGGGTTTCCATCTTTATTTCTGGCATAACTTCTATTCTTTTGACAGATATGTGGCAAGCAAAAATTCATGAGGTAAACTTCACTTCTAAAAGCATACAGGGCAACAGACTCCTCTATTGAGGAAAAATTAGCCACTGAGGGAAGTTACTTACAGCCCCCGCCCTGGCCCCACACTAAAGGAACAAGTGGAATTATATACTTTCAGATTACCTTAATTTTGGGTTTCAAACTCAATCCCACCTATTTATTTATTTAAATATGTATTCTGTACAGCCGACCCCTACAGGTTCACTTGGAAGCTCACAATGATAAAACATAAGACTACAATCCAATAAAGACTCTGTGTGTGTGTGTGTGTGTGTGTGTGTATAGGCAAAAAAGGCTTTTTCTTCATGGCTACTCACATTACAGGGGAACAAGGAGAAAGGCCTCTCTGGAAGATCTTTTTGATGTAATAATATATAGGAGAAAGCAGGGGTCATTTCCTGCAGGAGCGCACAGGAGCGAAGCTCCGGCAGTAAAGAGCCCAGGGGG